ATCTTGTTTTAGATATATATTTTTTCATAGCAAGATTGTGGTTGTTTGTGAGGGGGGGAAGAAAGAAGAAAACATCTGAATAAGGATACTGGGTGATCTTTTTATTTTATTATTTATTTATTTATTTATTTATTTATTTATTTATTTTTACATTTAAACAAAGACTTTTATTAAGGCCCAGGGTTTGTTGAACATATCCATTTTACACCACATAATATCATTAGTATCTTTTTTTATGAATATAATTTATTGTCAAATTAGCTTACATACAACACCCTGTGCTCATTCCAGCAAGTGTCCTCCTCAATGCTCATCACCCGTTTCCCTCTCCCCCACCCCATTACCCACCCTTAGTTTGTTCTTTGTATTTAATAGTCTCTTGTGATTTACCTCCCTCCCTCTCTGTTTGTATCTATTTTTTTCCCCCTACCCTTCTCCCATGGTCTGATCTTTTTAAAATTAGGCTATCTTTAACATAACAAGGAAGACACAAGCAACTTTTTTGTAAGGTCTACATTCCAGATTTTACAACTTAAACCAAACCATCATAGTCCTTTTCCCATATGCAGAGTCCTTGACTGTGTAAGACTGTTTGCTGAGGACTAGTGAACTAGAAATCAAGATCTTTGTAATCTCTTAATTCTATCATTTAAAATGATGCCAATTTGATAGAATGGCATTCTCATTTTCCTCATTTGCTTCATTTTCTTCATTTGCAAAATTACTTTATGATAGTGGAGGGAAACTGCATTTGAAGAATGTTTATTATGTGCTTTGAGATCATTAAAGCTGATATTACTTTGCATACCAAGTGGTAGTATTCGTATCCTTAATGTACTAAAGTTCTGATACAATCAACCTTTAAAGAATAACATATCATGACCAACAGTTTATGTATAATTCCATGATGTAAATGTGTCTGCAGTAATTACTCCCTCCTCTGAAATCTTGACATGATCATTGTCTGTGCCACTCACATTGGGGCTTAGTATAAGCCATTTTCTATTGTTATTTATCTTTATATGCATATGTCCTATTTATGCAAACAGATTGTGAGCTCTTGAGGATGGTGGGGGGGGGGG